CTCACCGAACCCCGTTTCTTTTGGAAAGCTTTTCCATGGCATGCGTTCCATCGGGTCACGTTTTCTAAATCTGCACCTCTTGCTGTTTCGCAGCGCCCACGGTGGAACTCATCCATGCCTGATCATCATTGGCGACGGGAGCTCCCTCACGTGGCCCGTCTGGATCTTCCGGCAGCTCGGCAAGCGGGTCGCACGCTCGATGCTGGCGCTGTACCGTGCGATCCGGCTCCCGCTCCCCCTCCCCGCGCACGTCTTCACGGAGCAGGGAAACGACCCCGCGGTGCAGGGGTCGTATGAGAAGGTGATGGAGGCCTCGGAGAACGGCCAGCTCTGGGAGTTCCTGGAGATGGTGCGAGGGCTGCCGCTCGCCCCCGGAGCGACGCTCGTCACCTGGTGACGGCAGAGGTACGTGGTTGGAACAATTCAAAATCGGTTAGGTCTGATTTTGTGACCCCAACCGGCTGTAAGCGCTTGAGAAGGGAACGGTTTCTCGGATTCTTGAAGTGTTTTCGGAGTGTTTTCGGCATGCTGACGTTGGATGACTATTGTTCCGTTCAAACCAATGCTTTTCGTGGTCGCGTTCCTTTTCCATACTCAGGCTGTCAGGCTGGTCTAAACTAATAGTTGAACTCGACCGTGAGCTCTCGCTTTTCTGGTTTGTTTCGTGCGAGTCTCCTCATGTCTTCCACGTTCACAAGGTGGTCCGATCGTCAACGTCATCACGGTGTAAATAAAATCACGATATTGGGCTCTCTATTTGCTTTATGCGCCCCTTCCATTCAAAATAGAGGTTCACGTCCTTGTGAAAACTCAGGAGACTATCGCAGCAAACCTCGTATTCGAAGTCATTGAACAAGCCGCTTTCTTGCTGTCTTGTACATTTTATGCAATCGATCTCGTATTCCATCGAAGCTTTGCCACAGGGTGAACTTGTCAGAACCCGCTAGTCAGATGTGCTGCTCTCTCTTCCTTCTCTGTTCTCAATCGTGGTTGTCGTGACTCTTGCAGGTGGGGGTACGAAGCCGTACTAGCGAAAGAAAGGGTGTCCTCGGTCGGCAGGTGCCAGTTTTTCCGGGACTAATAATCGCTCTATCATTGATTCAACATTTGATCTTCGAACACAGAGGGGTGGGGCCTAAGAAGCGGGGCACCTAATGGATGAATTCAGAACTTTGCGCGGATAAGTGCGTCTTGCTAAAATCGAGTCTGCAAACCGGTTGCTTTCATTTCTGCGGCCCGTCGTCGCAAGGTTTTGGACTATACAAGCACAGGTCGAGAGCGGCCAAAATACAGGAGTGACCAAGACATGCTACTCCAGACTGATCAGTTAGGGAACTGTCAAGGCTGAGAAACGCAACATGAGAATGATGAACTTTTGAGTCAAGAATAACTAGCTTGACATGGAGCACTTCGCTATTTGCACCCACTGTACATGCATATATCACTCACCACTGAATGCCTGAGTCTGGCATGTTGCATGCGACAAACTCCCAGACTTCGTCCCGGTACAGAACCGGGAGTATCCGATAAGGCGCTGTGGTCACCGCCTATAGCGGGATTAGGCACGGCTTAGGCCGCATAAGATCAAGTACGGCCCCGCACATATATGAACATTCTTGTGGATCCATAGAGGGCAGGCTTGACCCGTTTTTCAATGCTTTTCGTACCATTCTGTTTGTACAACATACGGATGCAATGACCTCGAAACATCGAGACTTGTGAAAATGCCATGCCGGTTAGATCGTCTGCTAAGATGCTTGCGCTGACTTTAGATCGCTCCATGCTCTTGGAGCTGCTCAATGTGGCTCATAGTGCGAATCTGCCGGCAAAACAATCTGCAAGCAGACTGCGGCAATTGAAGGTCCGCCACTCAGTGGCCTGAAACTCATGTGGAAGAGGCTGGCGTTCGACATCTTGAATAGAAGCGTATATTCATGACGTTTTTAGTGCAAGCGCATGAAGCCCACAAAATCCGATGCGCTAAGCAAGCAATCGAGCCCGGCCCGGCCAAAAGACACTTCGAGTCGGCAGATCATACAGGCATAGCAGTTTATTATGATGCAAAGCTGGAATATACACGCATCTTGAAGCCCGCGGGCGGCTTTCTTTTATGCAAAGCGTCTCCTCGTCACTACGTCCATAAGACCATTGGGCTGTCATTCGATCATCTAGGTTCCCGACAGACACCGCGTTGTTCAATACCGACTGTAGTCTCGAAATCTGTGATGCGGCCCGAGCAGCTTGTATTCCATTCCGGCCTTCAGCCGATCCGGCAACCGGGCCTTGTGCATCATTCGCCTCAAGAACGCCTTATGGCTTTCCGCTTGCGCGGTTCTGCGGCCCTTCAAAAACCTCTCGCGCAGCGCGACCAGATCGACGGCTGCGAAGTCGCGCTTGAACCCCAGCTCGTCCCCGCTGCCATCCGATAGCAGCCCGTTCAGCCGCTCGCGCAGATGCAACCGCGGCCGCGCGGGCGCGCCGTTCCAAAACTCCTGGACCGACAGCTCCGCAGAGAGCCGCTCTAGTTCCTGCTTGAAGTCTGCGTGCTGGCGCGCGATCTCGAGGTCCGCGGCCGCGATAGAGCGGGGATAGAGCTCTCCTCTGCGGCCGCCCCATTGAACAGGATACTCCTTCAATACCCCTGCAACTGCTGGCGACTAGTAACCCGCTGTCCGGCGTCGTCGCAACACGCATGTTAAAACTCTGCACGGTTGACCTTCTTGACCGGGGGGTAGTGCATCCGCGGCACTCGCCTTCTTCGCACCCTTCTCATCGACTCACCGACCCCCGGACCCGCCGCCCGATCTGTTGCAGCATTTGCTGCCGCGTAGCGCGCCTTACCCCCGACTCTAATGCACTCGCCTAGGGCGTCTGCTCCGCAGGGACCCGGTTTAAAAGCGAACGGCGGGAGTTCCCGTATCGTGAGCTGCGGCACTAGCGCCGTCTTCGAGCGCATTACTTTCGGCACTCGGTCTTCTGACGTCACCTCCTCCCCTGCGAATCTCACCTCCTTCGCGCCCCTCCTTGGCCGGCGAGATCCTCACTTTCTCCGCCGCCTGTGTGAGATCTTCACTCTGGCCTCCTTCCATTCGACGTTCTCTCCACTTTCGCCCGATAACACTGAGACTTCGGACACTAACTCCTCCAGTATCGACTTCGGTGACGCCCCGTGCAGTACCCGGTTCCCCTTCCGCACTGAGAAGCGATTCAAAACGCCGCTCCTCGTCCGAGCTTTCGGATGCCTCCCCGCTAGACTTGCATATCGACTTCCGATTCTCCGCTCCTCCGCTTCGGATCTTCGGATCGTCTTACCCCGACTCCGGACTTTTTCTTTCTGAATGTACGAGCTGTGCAATGGCAATTTAAACGATTGCTTTTAGACGAGCGCAGTGATGTTAAAGGAAGTCCTCAAGCATTCAGGACAAGCACAGGGCTGACGAGGTCGAGAAAGAGACTTCCCTCTGTGTGCTCTGCCGCTCATGTAAGATGCAGAACTCAAGTGAATGATTCAAGCTGTTCCACGACTTTCATCACGATGGCCAGATGAAGGTCGTTTTTCAATTCCAAATTTCCTTCTCCAATTCTTCTTCAAACCGTCGGTCACCTAGAGCAGGTGATTGACTCAGACATCTTGAGGAATGAAAATTCACAGGAGCCGGGATTAATCCTCACCATGGGTGGTGCGCCCCTGGTGGACTGGAAGGCGAAGTCGAACAGCCGTCCGGAGTTCCGTGCAGCGCAATGGGCAGGACGATCTCCTGAGGCGCCGCGCAGATTGTCTGCACAACGAGAAGCGCAGCTAGACGGAACTTGCGGGGAGAGCCGCTCGCGCAGCTCGGACACTGGCTCGGAGAAGCCGCCCGCCAAGACGAGAACCCGCGCGTCATCGACAGTCTGCAGGTGGTTGTGGGCGAATGGCCGAAATTTATTTGTGAGGATCCGGCGGAGTCATTTGAAGGGCGAGTGCTATAAGCTTCGTCGGTGCGGAGTCTACAAAGTCTGGGGTTCAGACGAATGACTGGGATAAAGGTTGAGGAAATCCTTTGAATGGTCTGCGCGCTCTTGAATGTGAGTTGAATGTCGGCAGTAAAGGGTTTCAAGAGTTGTTGGGTTGAGTTGATGCCGGTTGAGGTGTGAAAATTACCACTAGATTAGAAAGACGATAGAACACAAGAGCCCATTGGAAAAGTTCAATGCCAGCAACGAGGTTCATTGTTCTTGCAAAATGGCCGAGTGCTGAGTAAGTTTTATAAACGCTTTGACCAACCATCTGAGAGCGGAACCAGACTCGGAGCTTGCTAAGCCAAAGAGGCCTGTGAAGCCCTTTTCCATAGCCAAAAGTAAGCAACGTAGCTTGTCGTGGGATGCAGACGGGTGTTAGAGTCGGCTGCCAGCGTTCTGGAGCCCGCACCTTGTTTCCAGAGCCAAGACTAACTGATCATATTCGAGATCGAAAGTGAGCAGCCCGTGGATCAATTGCGTTCGAGTCAATTGTTAGAGTCCGCCGCAAGGGATAAGAAGGTGTACCGTTTGCATCAGAGATCTTTCAGCAGAAAATGACGTACAAGCTATAAGTAATTTGGAGGCGTTGAGCGTCGCCTCGTGCCGCTAGCCGCCCGGCCTCGCTGACGTCACAATGACGCGGCGGTTGCTGTTGGTGCTCAAAAGCGCGACGATGAAGGGCCTAGACCGCGACCGCTTGGAAGGAGCCAATGGCGCTGATCTGGGCCGCATCTGTGCAAGTGTGACAGTCTTTCGTTAGCGATCCGCATGAAGTCAGCAGAGCGTGGTGTAGAATTCGAGACATCGACAATGGTCGAAATAGAGCACGTCACGAAGAGAAAGCTCGAAGGCTTTGGGCTTGAAGGACAGCGAGGAAGAAATAATGAGAGGTTGGGCGCTCGGTTGCGGCGAGGAGGCCTGCTGGGGAAACGATCATGAAGTGAAAGGGCTTCGATGGCCGGTACGGTAGTTTGCTCAACAAATCCGTCCACCGTTGGATGTCAGCATGCACAGCGCAAAGCTAGCCTTTGTGTAAAGGTCTGTACTCGATTCGGAACCATGCGAATTGTACAATGTAATTGATTAACTCAAGGGGTTGACTCTGCTCATAGCTGCCAAGGAAGTCCATTGAAATGCTTCTATCCCATTCCAGAATTTGAGTCGATTACAAATGTGATTTTCTTGCTCACCATGCTAGATCTAGCAAAAGGGTCGCATAGGGCGCCCAATTAGTTCTTGGGCTTGGCGCGTCGGCAGCTCCCGGACCAACGTCAAGGTCGACCGGCCTCGCACGCGTCTGCAGATCACGGCCCCTGTGGACAGCAACACTGTAGATATCGCACTGACGACGTGCGGGTTCGCTGACGTCGTCTTTGCCACCGCTGATGTCGCTTAAAGTCGAACCACCCCTGGGGCTACTTCCCAACGGGCAGGTGCCAGAGCGGGTGTGCTGGTTGAAGGGCAAGACCGGGAAGCCGATTTTTCAGGCCGTGCCAGCATGTGAAGCGAATCGTGGGGTCTCGAAGCGGTGGAGCCAGTGGTTAAGGGCGGGGTCCTAATTTAAAAACATGTGGCTTGAATAAAAAATATACGCAAGACGCGTCTGCATCGGCATTGTTGCAGAAGTGCGACATCTAGTTGCACTCGTTGCCGAGTCTAATAGAAAGTGCAACACCTCGTTGCAGAAGTGCGACACCTAGTTGCACTCTTCGCAAACTTCCTGAAAATGCGACTCACATCTCGTGGCAGATATTTGTTGGCCCTTCTTCAAGGGCCGCCCAAAAGTGCAACACCTAGTTGCACTTTCGCAGAGTTCTTGAAAGTGCCACACCTCGTTGCAGAAGTGTGACACCTAGTTGCACTTTTTGCAGAGTCCCTAAAAGTGTGACACATCATCGCAAATTTTTGCTGGCCCTTGAGTCAAGCCTCCC